CAACTTTATAATCAAGGTTTTGATTCGGACACGGTGGCAAAATTTGTCCAGGAAAAGTTTCATCCTCAACTACAACAAGGCCAACATGTACAACTAGTCGAAAAACATGACTCAAAAAATCAACAAGTAATTTTTTTTTAACAAAGTGTACGATTATAAGTGCTTGACTATATTTTATTTCGAAGATAACATCACCAACAAATATTAGTCATGATCCAGCAGCAATGGGAACAGGAACGAAACGAAAAAGAATTTTGTTAACACCAACACCAACAACCGAAATACTATCAATACTTGATAAACCTATAAATCAATCGTCAATATCACAAGCAGGTCCTAAGAAAACCAAAACAATAACAACAGCTGCAGCAACATCGTTACTTGAAGAACCTTTTAGTCAATTAACAATATCACAAGAAGATATGAACAACACCAACACAACAGCAACATTCGTACATAACGCAATTCGAAATACTGAAAATGATTCAACAAATAATTATTTAGAAAATTTTAAACCACATTATTTAAAAGTATCTGATCGAATATTCAAACGAATGTTAGCTGAAGCCATTCCAGAGGGTTCAAAATTAGTTCAATGTTTAAATACTCCTGAAAAAATTTATGTTGTACGTGAATTAACTGAACTAACAAATAATTTTTATCATAAAGATTTTCAAGAAAAATTATGGCATGAATATAATACGATAAGTTCTCAAGACCAGAACTGGGGAAAAAAAATAACAAAAAAATTTGCTTTTCAAAATAATACATGCCAAATGTATAGACCTAACAAAACTTATATTCAACAACGTCAAGCTACAATTGCTAAGCAGAAAACAAGAATAGGAAACCAATTAAATGAATGTTTAAACAATTTATTAAAAGATATAGAACACTGGCAGCCATCCTTAGATGGAACATTATTATCACATGCAATTAATGAATGTGTTCTGCATAGTCAAAAAAAATTAAAAAATGAATTTCAATATAAAATAGAAATGATAAAATTAGATTGCAATGATCATCAATTACTTATGAAGTTTTATGAATCACATCCTAATGAAGAACTTATTAACTTAGCTCAACACATTTGGCAAATCACTGTCGATGAACAAAAAACCAAGGAACAAGAAGCTATACTTCGACAACGTCTTTATTTGAAACGGTTACCAGCAAAAACTGATCAGATGATAAACCAGTTACTTGATGATAATCGAACAACACTCTCCAATCCTTTTCTGGATCCAGATCAACGTGCTAGTTTTTGTTTCACGTTGCTCAAAAACTATAATACAATGTAAATTTAATTTAATGATTACAGAATTAGATGAATTTGCAATTGTTAAACATCGTTATGATTTAACATTAACTAATTTAAAAGAACAATTATCAAATCTTAATAAAAAAAATCCACTTGTTTATCCAAGTTTATTGGTAAATATTATTAAAGAACGTCGACAAGCAATGATACAACGTTTTCTTCGTATACGTCAACACAAATTGAAGACTTTTTTCGACGAAGCTCCGGCGGTGGACAACAACTAATTAAAAAACATCACCGTCGGAGCAATCCATTTATTTATACAAACATAAGTAGTTCTTTACCATTTATTGATACAAATATTAAATTAGATTCAGAACTTATTCAAATGTTAAGCAATGGTCGTAAATATATTATACCATGTCAAAGTCGATTTTCTTGTAAATCCATAAACGAAATTGCCACAGAAGAATACAAGACAATATCAAGCACGATTAAAAAAAGCCTTGATTCTAATCAAATGTCCACTAAAGATGATCGAGCAATACGGGCATTTTCAGAATTAGAACAAATGATTCATCAGTTATATACAAAACCATTATCACCAAAATTATATCGACGTGCTCGACGTGAAAACAAAAATGTTAAACGTCTCCAGAAATTATTACATCGTCATCCTGATGTTATTGTACGTCGAGTTGACAAAGGTGAAGGATTTTACTTTGGTAATAAGTCTACACTAGCAAGTAAAACAGAAGAATATATGGATCAAACGGAAGCTTATGAACAAGTCATCGATGGTCAATGTCCACTAGCCGATATTTTACATACAACAATAGCTGTACTTGATTATCTTCTTAAGAAAAAAGCTATTACTAAAGATAAACGTGATAAACTTCTACCTAATGTCAATAAACTTGAACTCGCTTATTTGTATACAATACCTAAAGTACATAAGGTAATTCTATTTTTGAATGTATATTTTCGTTACACTCTAAGTTATTAAAAAATTTATCTTTGTCTTTTTCTAGCCTGAATTATCAATAAGACCCATTATTTCGGCTTTACATGCACCAGTTACCTTTGTATCAAAGTTTTTGAATGATTTACTAGCGCCCATTTATTTACAAGTTGCTCGTGAAACCACATTTATTAATAGTATTGATGCTAGCCGAAGACTAGAAAAATATGCTGCCAATGGTTACCTCAAACCTACGACAAAGTTTTTCACTGGTGATGTTGAAAATCTTTATTCAATGATACCAAGAAAAGGTGGTATTAACACATTAATACGATTCTTAGAAAGACACGCTAAAAATCGAAGAATTGGGCCATTTACTATAGATATGATATTGAAAATGGCTCGACTAATTTTAGATACAAATTACTTTGCTTATGAAAATAAATATTATCACCAAACAAGGGGTGGAGCAATGGGTTCTGCATTTACTCAAGTCTATGCCAATATATATATGCTTGAATGGGAACACAAATTAATTGAATATCAATCTTCAAAAAACGAAATATACGGAAGGTTGTTCATTTATTTGAAATATATGAATTAGATACTAGATTTCTAGTTTTAGATATATCGACGATATATTTATGACTGTCAATGAACCCTACAAAGATATACTATTTGAACTTGAAAAATTACAAAACGAAGATCCCAATATTAAAATTAATTCAACTCTCAATGATACAGTTCATTTTCTCGATATTACTATCAACAACAAAGAAGGTCAATTAAACATATTTATTTACCACAAGCCATCAGCCGATCCTTACTACTTACCATACACGTCGGATCATCCACATCGCATTCATCGAAACATACCATATACTGCATTATTACGTGCCGCACGACTTTGTACCAATCTTAATGATTTTCATCTAGAACGATTACGTATCGAAGTTGCCTTGTTATTGAACAACTATCCACCAAAATTCATCTTAAATCAATTTCTTCGGTTCTTTCAGGTCCACAAAGGTGATACTTTAATTGCACGTTTTGATACAAAAGTATATGATCAATTACATCTCAAATTACTACATCAAAAATCAAAACGTGAACTTCAATTACAACAACCTCTAAAAGATATTGTCCTATTTCCACCAGTATTGGAACAAAAGATGTGGAATTCAAGCATCATCTATCTACGGCATAAATTCGAAAGTGGACCCATATCGACCTTCTCTACATTATTAACGAGATGGTGGAAAAAAAATTATCAACATCCGGGATCTGAAGCCAATCATCTTCGATTTCGATATATTCCAAAATCGAACCGAACTCTACAAAACTACCTTATTCGGAAAAAGCCACCATCACAAATACTCACCATGCCTCAGACAAAACAAAATTAAACTCACAAGCAATCTTTCCTTTTGTTCATACATTTGAAATGTTTCTTTTGTCTTTCTATTATTCATTTGAAAACATAGTATAATAAAACTATAACTATTGAATATACAATAAGTTCCAATGCGAATAACTCTATGAATTTCAATTTATTTCAGATATATCCCGAATCCAACTCATCGATCAAATACAATGTTCCATCACCCATCATGCCTGCACACCACACCTTCAAAAAAATTACAGTAGATCAACTCACAAAATTTATCACAAGGATCAATATTATCCAACCTAACTGAAAAACAGCTAGATAAAGCAAGTAACCATTTCTATTTCAAAACGTCGATTTTGTAGAAAACAATTCGAACTACATAGGTATAATTACTTCGAGAATCTAAACATGCTGCAAACACCTGATAGCCAAACGGCTACAGCCCAAATGCCACACTTCGAATCTGTGAGTATCGTTCCTTCAGTGACGAACGAACACGTCGTGTGATGCTCTCAATCTAAAAATCTTCTATAATTAAATACT